GGGGGCTGTGTATGAGGGGGAGGGGGGGTAGCCAGCCTCGAGTGTTGGGGGGCGGGGAAAAAGGACCACATTTATCTGCATTTGCCACGCAAGAAAGGCGATAAATGTGCACCGAATACGTGCGAGGTGTACGCACGACATATTAACAATATGTCGAGACTGCAATTCTGGAAATGTTTTGGGCGTGTTGTGGGGCACGCATCCACGGCCACTGTTGCTGGTAGAGAGACAGGTGTCTTCCCCTAAAATACCAACACGACCGTTACAATCATTCCAACCCGAATTTTTTTCATTTTTTTTTTAAACACGGTCGATACTCTTGAAAAGTGAATGTGTTTTACGCACCGTTGCGTTTTCATCGCAAGCAAAAGAGACCCTCGCGTTTAAAAGCCCAACTCGCCTCGGAATCAGACAATAGCGCCACACCAACCCTTCTGTGCGTGAGTGTGTGCGTGTGAGCGCGCGTGTGTTTGTGTTTGTGTGTGCGCGCGTATCTCTCCTCCACAGCACCCCCGCGCGACGTCCCCGCGCACACGCACGCACGCGCTCGCTTACCGCGATGGGTTGGAGCAATATTCCCGAAAAACGGCGAATCCATGAAAGAAGAGGAAGGTGTGAAGAGCACTCCCGTACTCCTACTACCCCGGCTACTACTATTCCATGGGTTGCTCTGCGTGGATGTGAGGGGCATCACGCGGCGTGGATGAGGACGGATGCTGTGCTTCGTCGGAGGGCGGGGACAAGACGCGCAGTGGGCTCTAGCGGAGCGTGTATAACTCGCTGGAGGGACCTTGTGTTCGGTGCAAGTGGGCTGTCTCGTGTGTCCATTCCCAGCCAGGCTGCCCTTTACAACCCCACTAACATTTCTTGGTTTTATTCCGGTGGGAGACTGTCTCGTGCTTATCCATATTCATGTGGATTTACACAGTGGATGAGAAACTTGTCCTCCTCAAGAATCATGAGAAAGAAGGCAGATTTCAGTGACAGGAAGCCTGAAGTGATTATGAGGTGCAACAGACGAAAATGAACACGAGTTGCTATTGGATTTTTAGGCAGCATGGGCCCAATGTCTACGGGACATTTGTCGCGCTGAGACCGAACACAAAAAAATATGTTATCAATTATCAGAGTCTGAAGGCTAGGCTCTGTTTCGAAATCAGCTGCCTACTGCAGCAAAAAAAAACAACAACAACAACAAACAAACAAACAAACACAGACGATGAGATGGAAGAAGAGAATTACAGCCGTATAAAAGCACTAACTGCAGTTTTGTTTCCATTTCCAACATTTGTGAAGTGATATTTTCTGCAACAATGTCATCCAAATCCAAATCGTGGAGTACATTGGACAAGTAACTCACTTCTGGTGTCATTGTCGTCCATTAACATGTTCTGTGGATTCATCAAAACTGTCATGATTCTGTTTGTGACCAACAGGTGGCACTGTAGGGCTCCCCTGCAGCTGCACACCTGTTGGTCGTTATGTAATTAGCAGTATAAAAGGACTCCCGCCGGACCACTCATTGTCGGGTCATTGTGTGTTTGTTTGCTGCTGTCATGTTCTGGTCATGTTCGCTTATGGTTTTGTTTAATACTTTGGTTTTGTTTTCAGGACTTTGTTTTGGATTTAGTTTTCTGTGTTTTTATCAATACAACTCGTGAAGTTCACCCTGCTCCTCCCTCCCGCCTGCTTTTTGGGGTCCTCCACCACCTCGCAACGTGACAAAACCTACATAAAAAGAACATTAGCACCCCAAAAAACAAGATTCAAAGTAATAAACCAAAGCGTAAGACGCTACATGACATGCTATGACTTGGACTTGGTAATGTGACAACGAGCAGTAAGCATTTTCTTCATATGCCTGACAGACGGAGAAAATACATCCCATAATAGAAGATAATCAATCTTATGTGATTAGAACTGTCAGAAATGGAGTGGGACCAAAACATGGAAGACTGTGACGCACGTTGACACCAAAGCGAAGAAAACATTGGTGTGTTCAGTGATCTAGATTCTAGATGGCACGCTACATTACACTCTGTCCTCTGTCTACCCGGTCTTCCGTCTTCGGCTTTTTCCTGCCCGGCTCACTTCTCTGAGGGCTCCCGTCATGTTAACCAAACGCAGCAGAAAACATTTGGGAATTGATGTTCAAAAGGAGTTGTGCGGCGTCAGTCGGCGCATTATATTTGTTCTGAAGAGCAGATCTGGTGCAGATTGTGCAGGTACCACTGGGTACACTCACATATGAGAATAAATAAATAAAATATGTTATTTTAGCGAGCGGCCCGGTGGTCCAGTGGTTAGCGCGTCGACCAAACAGCACAGAGATACCGGGTTCAATTCCCACTCCGGCCTCCCTGTGTGGAGTTGGCATGTTCTCTCCAGGCCTGCGTGGGTTTTCTCTGGGTAAACCGATTTCCTCCCACATTCCAAAAACATGCATAGCAGGCTGATTGAACAATTTCTGATTGAACACTCCAAATTGTCCCTAGGTGTGAGCGTGAATGGTGTTTCGTCTATGTGTGCCCTGCGATTGGTTGACAACCGGTTCAGGGTGTTTCCCGCCTACTGCCCGAAGCGTCTGGTATAGGCTCCGGCACCCCGCGCGACCCTTGTGAGGATAAACGAATCGGAAAATGAATGAATGTTATTTTAGCCACATTTTTAAAAATATATATATATTTCCGCAGAGAAATCATTCTGCATTACTTGCGAATGTTTTGAAGGCACCCCCGGAAGAAGCTATTCATTAGATGTATTCCATCGGCGACATGATGTTATTCTCCCGTCCGTATAAGCGGTGAACAATTGCGCAAGATAGCTTGAAGACAGAGGCATTTGTGTCCAAATAACTCAGCGGGAGTCAAGAAGAAAACATTTAAACCGTCTTTGGGGTTTGTTTGTTTTTTTTTGCTATTGCTTTCCAAAATAAAGGTCATCTGCACTCACGCGGGCCTTTGTGACGCTCATTTGAAAAGAGAAAGGTCACTTGGGTGCTGTCCAAATAACTGTAGATGACGGAGTCGCAAGTATGCAAACGCAGTATCCTGGTGAAAGAGAGGAGCTCTGTGGGTGTATAAAAAAAAAAAAAAAAGATGGGCAGAACAGGCTCTAAGACACAATCTAACCTCAAAAGTGGCACTGAGGTCTTTTTTTTTAATCTTTACAAATGACCCCACATATGCAAGCACTAATTTTGGAGTTTATTGAATTATCAAAAGCCTCGGGGACTACACAATATATTGTCGTGTACGCACACACAGAAATATCAGCTTACACCTCGTCTCGGAGTTTGTCATCCACTGGAAGCGTGGCGTTAGTCTTTTAATCTGCTAACAAAGCTTCACTCAGACTCAACGGCCTCGTGTAGAGTTTCACTTATATGACAAGGAGTAGAACAAAACGCAGGGAGATGAATGCAAGTGAATGGCGTATTCATTATGCGATCCGCTAATACTTTATTTGGAAATGTCTTCTGTTCAAAGTCAACCGGGACAGGCTCCGGCTCGCGAGTGAAGATGTGCGGTGTAGAAAAGGGATGGATGGAAGGATGAACTGAGCTTGTCGTGTTTTTTGGACTTCCGAAGTATCCATCAATCCATTTTCCAATCTGCTTAACACAAATGGGGTCGCGGGGGGTGCTGGAGCGTATCCCAGCCGTCTTCAGGCAGTAGGCAGGGGACACCCTGAACCGGTTGCCAGCCAATCGCAGGGCACACAGAGACGAACAAACATCCGCACTCACACTCACACCTAGGCACAATTTAGAGTGTTCACTCAGTCTGCCATGCATGTTTTTGGAATGTGGGAGGAAACCGGATTACCCGAAGAAAACCCACATAGGCTCGGCCAGCGAGAACATACTTCCGAAGTAGATGAACAAAATTCATCACGTGGCATCAATATTTTTTTACATGTCTTGTTACTTTGACTTACTTAAAAATACTCGCTGTACAATGCGTTAAATGTGGTCGTTGAATAGCTTACTGAAGATGAGCTCCGATCCACTTACTGAAGGAAACTTGGGCAGTTGCACAATCCCGGAGTTGCCGTATCGCATTGTGCTCCTCTGGGCTTTGTTCGTGTCCATGGCCTCATTATCGGAGAGGTGTATTGATCAG